GGGGAGAGGGTGGCGGGTGGGGGGGTCCATCCAGCCCTGGCTAGAAATAATCAGTGGTGGGTGTCATTGGGGTGATTTGAGCATGGGGGTGAAGGTGATCGTCTTGGGGACCTCAGGTCAACCTTGTGAGGTGCTGTGGCCAGGGAGGGGCCTGGCTCCTGGGCTGTGAGTTGAGAGGACCCTGGTTATGCCTGGCTTACTCTGGAGGGTCCCACAAAGATGTGCGACGGGGGGACCAGGGCTCAAGCAAGTTAGGTCTCGCGGGGGGGGGGGCTCGTTCTTCAGCCCCCTCTTCCTCCTCTCCTGATTGAAAATTTTCACGGTGTGAAGTTTCAGACCCTGAAGAGAAGTAAAAACCTAGATCAGGGTCTTGGTAGGCGTGTGGGCGCGGCGCTACTGTGGGGTCGTGTTCCGCCAGAGCCGGGGCTTTGCGCGGCCCCCCACAGTCCTGGGGGCCGGGACTTGGGCCCCAGTGTGGGGCTGCAGCCGCCACCTGTTGCTCCCAGCGAGACAGGCGTCTGGGGCGCTGGTCTGCACCACCCCGCGAGAGAACTGATGTCTCCAGAGCTCACAACCAAAGAGGCTGGAGAGAACTGAGCGAGAGGAAGGTGAGGGGAAATAAAAAGGCGGGGACACCCTCCACGCCTGGGGCGCCCCTCCGCTGGGGGGGGAGACGCCGGCTGCTGGCCACGACTGGCCAGTGCTCCACCCTTTCTCTCCAGAACTGTCTTCGGCCGCGGGTGGAGCGACTTTCCGCAGGGCTGACCCCTCGCCTGTTGGCCACGTCGGGCCTCGGCCTCCGGCTTCGGGGGTGTTTGGGGGGAACCTGCTCTCTCTCCCCCCGCCCCTCGCCGCACTGGGGTTTTGGGGGGGGGGGCCCAAGAGCTCACTTTGGGAGCAAGGAAGCGCCAGCGTAAACTTCACGGCCCCAGGCCCCCGTGGTCTGCTCCTGGCCGCGGGTTCCGGGGTCTCTCTCCGGGTGGCCTGCGGGGTGTCGCAGCCACAGCCTGCGTGCGCTGGGGCGCCTTCCTCAGTCCACGCATCCCTGTCTGGCTGGGGTGCGCTCCCACCCCCTTTGTTTTGGGCCTCTTTGGCGACTCTCCCCCGCTTTTATGGCCCCTGCATGTGCTCAATCCCATTTGGAGACGCCATGTTTTGTGCGGCCTTAAGGACTTGGCGGAAGCCCAGGGTCAGCGCTTCGCAGAGCGGGGCGGGCTGGCGCGTCCAGAGCAGTTTTCTCTACGAGGAGAAAAGAGGCGGAGGCCGCCAGGCCAGAGGAGGGCAAGAAGCCAGCGTGGGGCAGCAGCCGGCCAGCCCCAGCCTCTCCCGACCCTGCGCGAGTCTGGAGCACCCACCCGCCAGGCGTTTGCCGGACACTGTCCCCGCGGCCAGCTGCCGGTCAGCCTGGAGGCCTCCGCCATCTTGCGCGCTGGCCCCCTGCGGGGCGCACAGCCAAGCCAGGCCTGGCCGGGCCCTTCAGAGCTACACGGCTGGGCTGGCGCAGTGACACGCGGTGTGTCCATGGCCAGTGTCCCTCATGTGGCGGGACACTGATACCTCACTGCCCCCCATACGGCCTCACTTTCCTTTTTTTTCTTTTATTTATTTGTGCATACAGAACTAGGTACAGGCCAGAGGCTCAGGGGCGGCGAGAGGCTTCACCAGAGACAGAGCGGGGAGCAGAACAGGCAGTTCGAGGAAGCACACTGCTGAGGGGAGCAGCGGGAGGTCAGGAGAGAGCAGCGGTCAGGTCGCGCCCTGGGGGTCAGCTCCGGGGCAGGGATGGCACTCGTACTGAAGCGGTTGTGCCAGCCTGCAGTGCTGCGCCCCAACCCGCTGCGCCCGGGGAAGGGCCGACTTCCCCTTCTCTAATGCGGAGCTGTGCCAGTTCCCAGTGCTCTGAGCGCACCATCTGGAAGCTGAATACTTCTGGTCCCAAAACTACGAGGCGCTTCAGAGTGTCCCCTCCGCAGCTGACTCTCCCCTCTCCCCTCGGCCAGTCCTTCCGCCTGCAAACTTGGGAAGTTTTAGTTGCGAGGCTGGGATGGCTGCTGGCTCCTGACTGTTAAATACATGCTGAAGTCATGATATCAAAATGTTGCGACAAGAACTGCAGCTAGTCAGCCAATATCCAGGCATGGGCTGTGTACTGGCTGGCGGGTGGGGAGCCGGTGAGAACCCTAAAATGAACTATACTTTGGTTGGCTTCAGATAACGATCTTTTATTTGTTTTTTTTTTTCTTTAAAAGTGGTATGTCAACATCACTTCGTCTCTACATTTCAGAATGCTGTACAGTTCTTAAAAGGAAATAAGCAATGCTCGATGTACAAAATAAAAACAGAAAACTAGAAAATCTGAATAAAATGGAGCAAGTTGCCATCGGTCATACAGTACAAATTAGTAATTAGATGTCTCCTGAAGTGCGATACCACCGCTGTGATGATGAGTGAAGGAAGGAAATAAAAATACTCTATTTTTAAACAAACAGTATATATATATTTATATGTATATTTTTTACAGATAGTAGACCCAGTGATATCTGCAGTATTGTAAAAACTTATTTACAAATAACTTTTTTTTGACATTACATATACATCAGCACCGTAGTAAAAACAAAACCAAACCACCGTCTTAAAATCTACCTCTCCCTGGAGCTGGCCCCAGCACACAGCCCCGGAGGAAGCGTCCAGGAGGTAACGGCCCATCCCCATCGGCTCCCTCCCGTTTCTGCCGTTGTTTCCGCCTCCGTGCCTGTCCCGGGAGGGTGCTCCTGGGGTCCGTCTCCACTGCTCCTTTCCTTTTTGGTTTTCTTGTGTGGCCGGCAGCTCCCGCACGGAGGTGCACCCCCACCCCGCTCTGCCCGGAGGGGGCACCCTGCCAGCCCGCCCGCCCCCCTGCCCTCGCCCAGCAGATCCAGAACCCTGGGGCCCGGCGGGCGGGTGGGGGCTGTGTCTCCCTGCCCCCGCCTCGCTCCCTCGGGCCCCCTTTCCATTCCGACACCCCTTCTGTGGCTTCCCCCAGAGGGGCCAGGCCGGCGCCGAGGCCCGGCTCTGGCGTGATGGGTGCTTGAGGCAGAGGCAGCGGGGGACACGGAAGGGGGCCAGTGCGAGCAGCTGACCCTCCTGGCCCAGGACAACCTCCCCCGCGGCCTCGGGCGGGATGGGAGACCAGGGCCAGCCTGAGCCAGAGCCGCCTCGCCGATTGTGGGCTTGGGCGTGGAGGCTGATTCCAGCCAGCAGATTTCACTTTAGGTGGATTTGAGTGAGTGACCGAGAGAACAACGGTCCTTGGCCGCCTCAAGTGGACTTTGCCCCCTCGGAGAATCGCGTCTGCCTTTCTGTCATCAAAGCGTGTAAGGCGGCACACTCAGCTCCTCCCTTCTCTCCGGGCTTTAGATTTGTCTCTCCACGGCAAGGCGAGCTTGACTCCTGATGGTCCCACGGAGAGCCGGAGCCTGCGACCCCAGCCAGGCCCCCTGGGGTCCCCAGCGGGGCCCGGGCGGCTCCTTCCTAGCGCCCGCGCGTGGGCGTGGCCCGCCGAGCCCAGGGAGATTCTGCTCACGCTGCTCTGCATCAGGACACCGGCTGCCTCTGCACTTCAGGCCTTGTCTGGGCTTCTTATATTTGTCTGGGCCCCGCCCGGGCTGCCTGGAGACGAGAGCGTCATCTCTTCCTGGATAGTCCTTAAGGAGAAGCACAGGCCGCTGGCCGGAGGGCAGGCGGGTGGGGAGGCAGGCGGCCAGGCAGCAGACCCTGGCCGGCTGGGCCCGGCGGCCACAGTCCCGGTGCCGCGCCGGGCGAGTCAGCAGAGTCCCGGCCCCACCCCGGAGCGAGGACCGTGGTCGCCCCTTGCAGGGCCCCCAGGACTGCTGGACGGACCTGCCCCAAGCCTTCTTGGTTCTCCCGTTAAGGGTCGCTCAGGCAGCAGGTGGGCCTTTGTCCTGCCCGTGACAGCTCCCGCCCCTCGTGTCCACCCTCCCAAAGCGCAGCGGGCCTCGGGCTTCTGCCTGAGCGGACGCCCCGTGGCCCCGGCATGCAGCCGTGCTGGTCACCCAGAAGCGCCGGGCGGCTCTGGGGCCCTGGGCCCTGTCTCGTGTCTCCAAACCTGCGGTCTCTGGCGCCGGCCAGGAAGGGCTGCCGGGCCATCAACACAGCAGTCCCCTCGCTGGAGCCGCTGACGCTGGGCCGGGCGGCCCGGGCGCGCCTGGCAGGGGGCTCCCGTCGGCGCCCCACCTGCCCCGGGCGGCCCCCTCTCTGGCAGCAGGGTCTGCTCGTCTGGACGGCTCTGTGAAAATCGGCTGGAGGAGGCCCAGAGTGCGGCGGGCGGCTCCCGCGTCTCCCACGGTAGCCCGCTGTAGTTCTGCTCAGTTTACGTGGGTCAAAAAAACAAAAAAACAAGGATGGGTGACATCCTGTTTTCACGGCTTAAGCTCTGACCACCGGAATCGTGGCCCTGGGGGTTCCCGTGACTAGGGGTTTCCAAACAATTCGTCCAGCTCCTGCATCCACTCGTCGCCCGGCCCCCCTTTAATGATGGAGTCCACCAGGTCGGTGCTGTCCGAGAGCCCGGGGAAGGCGGCCGTGGCGGCCTCGCCACTGTAGCCGTAGGACAGGTCCTGGGAGGGGCTCCTCTCGTAGCCTGCGGCCTGGCTGCTCGGGGCAAAGCTGCCGCCGGGCATCGGCTGCTGTGCTGGGGGCTGGCTGAAGGCCGGCATGCCAGGGACGCCCGGGCTCAGGCCCGACATCACCATGGGCCGGGCCTGGCCGGCGCCTGGCTGTGCCGGGAGCGGCGGCATCAGCGGCCGGCCCATGGCGGCCGGGTTGAGGGTCCTCACGGCGCCCGTGTTGGCGTCCACCACCGGGCTCAGGCCCTGCGGGAAGTGCTGCTTGCTCAGCCTCGGCTGGCCAGCCGCGAGCGGGTAGCTGGCCCCGTTGTTGAAGGACCCCGGCTCGCCACTAGTCCTCCCCGGCCGCCCCTGTGGGCCCCGCTGCGGCCAGCTCTGCGTGCCCTGTGGCACTGTTCCCATGAGGGTCTGCAGCCTCGGTGGGCCCTGGGGTCTCGGCAAGGCCTGGCCCACTGGCCCCTTCAGCTGCTGGTGCTGCTGGGGCATGGCCGAGTCCACCAGCATGCTCTGCCCAAAGCCGCTGACCACCCCGACGCCCTGCCCGGAGGCGGGCTGCCTGGGCCCCTGCGCGGGGCTGTGCGCCAAGCTCATGCCGCTCTGGCTCGGGTGCCGCAACATCTGGGTCATTCCTGGGCTCATGTTGTACATGCCTGGCTGGCTGGTAGAGGCGGCACTGTACGGGGCCAGCCCCATCTCCGACGGGGCAGCCGCCGTGGCCACCGTCCCCGGGTTCTGGGAGGGGCCCATTGCCATCATGCCCGCGTTCTGCGCCATCAGCCGCGAGTTCCTCATGTTCTGAAGGGCCGCCTGGCTCCTCACGGCCGCCATGTCCTGGGGCGGACCTGGGGGCAGAGCACAAGCAGGGTCACGACACAGGTCAACGCAGCACACACCCCTTGCACGTGACAGAAAAGCTCAAATAATGCAGCCTGCACAGAGGCAGTTCTTTTTTTTTTTAAAGATTTATTTATTTGTGCACACAGAACTGGAGTACAGGCCAGAGGTACAGGGGCGGCGAGAGGCTTCAGAGACAGAGTGGGGAGCAGAACAGGCAGATGGACGAAGCACACTGCTGAGGGGAGCAGCGGGCGGTCAGGAGGGGTCTG